TGCTAGTTATTGTCATCTGTCCCACCAGTCTGTTCTATAAACCTGTGCTAGTTATTGTCATCTGTCCCACCAGTCTGTTCTATAAACCTGTGCTAGTTATTGTCATCTGTCCCACCAGTCTGTTCTATAAACCTGTGCTAGTTATTGTCATCTGTCCCACCAGTCTGTTATTTAACTGTGCTAGTTATTGTCATCTGTCCCACCAGTCTGTTATATAAACCTGTGCTAGTTATTGTCATCTGTCCCACCAGTCTGTTATATAAACCTGTGCTAGTTATTGTCATCTGTCCCACCAGTCTGTTATATAAACCTGTGCTAGTTATTGTCATCTGTCCCACCAGTCTGTTATATAAACCTGTGCTAGTTATTGTCATCTGTCCCACCAGTCTGTTATATAACTGTGCTAGTTATTGTCATCTGTCCCACCAGTCTGTTATATAAACCTGTGCTAGTTATTGTCATCTGTTCCACCAGACTGTTATATAAACCTGTGCTAGTTATTGTCATCTGTTCCACCAGACTGTTATATAAACCTGTGCTAGTTATTGTCATCTGTCCCACCAGTCTGTTATATAACTGTGCTAGTTATTGCCATCCGTCCCACCAGTCTGTTATATAAACCTGTGTTGGTTATTGTCACCTGTCCCACCAGTCTGTTATTTAAACCTGTGCTGGTTATTGTCATCTGTCCCACCAGTCTGTTATATAAACCTGTGCTGGTTATTGTCATCTGTCCCACCAGTCTGTTTTATAAACCTGTGCTAGTTTTTGTCATCTGTCCCACCAGTCTGTTATTTAAACCTGTGCTAGGTATTGTCATCTGTCCCACCAGTCTGTTATATAAACCTATGCTAGTTATTGTCATCTGTCCCACCAGTCTGTTATATAAACCTGTGCTAGTTATTGTCATCTGTCCTACCAGTCTGTTATATAAACCTATGCTAGTTATTGTCACCTGTCCCACCAGTCTGTTATATAAACCTGTGCTAGTTATTATCATCTGTCCCACCAGTCTGTTATTTAAACATGTGCTAGTTATGGTCATCTGTCCCACCAGTCTGTTATATAAACCTGTGCTAGTTATTGTCATCTGTCAAACCAGTCTGTTATAGAAACCTGTGCTAGTTATTTTTATCTGTCCCACCAGTCTGTTATATAAACCTGTGCTTGTTATTTTCATCTGTCTCACCAGTCTGTTATAGAAACCTGTGCTAGTTATTGTCATCTGTCTCACCAGTCTGTTATATAAACCTGTGCTAGTTATTGTCATTTCTCAAACCAGTCTGTTATATAAACCTGTGCTAGTTATTTTTATCTGTCCCACCAGTCTGTTTTATAAACCTGTACTAGTTAGGGTCATCTGTCCCACCAGTCTGTTATATAAACCTGTGCTTGTTATTTTTATCTGTCTCACCAGTCTGTTATAGAAACCTGTGCTAGTTATTGTCATCTGTCCCACCAGTCTGTTATAGAAACCTGTGCTAGTTATTGTCATGTGTCCCACCAGTCTGTTAAAAAACCTATGCTAGTTATTGTCATCTGTCCCACCAGTCTGTTATATAAACCTGTGCTAGTTATTGTCATCTGTCAAACCAGTCTGTTATATAAACCTGTGCTAGTTAGTGTCATCTGTCCCACCAGTCTGTTATATAAACCTGTGCTAGTTATTGTCATCTGTCCCACCAGTCTGTTATATAAACCTGTGCTTGTTATTTTCATCTGTCCCACCAGTCTGTTATAGAAACCTGTGCTAGTTATTGTCATCTGTCCCACCAGTCTGTTATAGAAACCTGTGCTAGTTATTGTCATCTGTCAAACCAGTCTGTTATATAAACCTGTGCTAGTTATTGTCATCTGTCAAATCAGTCTGTTATATAAACCTGTGCTAGTTATTTTCATCTGACCCACCAGTCTGTTATATAAACCTGTGCTAGTTATTGTCATCTGTCCCACCAGTCTGTTTTATAAACCTATACTAGTTAGTGTCATCTGTCCCACCAGTCTGTTATATAAACCTGTGCTAGTTATTGTCATCTGTCCCACCAGTCTGTTATATAAACCTGTGCTTGTTATTTTCATCTGTCCCACCAGTCTGTTATAGAAACCTGTGCTAGTTATTGTCATCTGTCCCACCAGTCTGTTATAGAAACCTGTGCTAGTTATTGTCATCTGTCAAACCAGTCTGTTATATAAACCTGTGCTAGTTATTGTCATCTGTCAAATCAGTCTGTTATATAAACCTGTGCTAGTTATTTTCATCTGACCCACCAGTCTGTTATATAAACCTGTGCTAGTTATTGTCATCTGTCCCACCAGTCTGTTTTATAAACCTATACTAGTTAGTGTCATTTGTCCCACCAGTCTGTTATATAAACTTATGCTAGTTATTTCTATCTGTCCCACCAATTTGTTATATAAACCTACTCTGGGATAGTTATTGCTATCTGTCCCACCAATTTGTTATATAAACCTACCCTGTGATAGTTATTGCTATCTGTCCCACCAATTTGTTATATAAACCTACCCTGTGATAGGTATCGCTATCTGTCCCACCAATTTGTTATATAAACCTACTCTGGGATAGTTATTGTTAACTGTCCCACCTCTGCATAGGCTCTTCTACATTTCTCCCAGTTTTTGCTAAGCAGTCTGCTCTTTCATTTTCTATTACCCTGTTAAAAGATAAAATATGTAGTTATATTACTAGTCTGTAACAGTTAGACCGTTTACATCTTACCTGGTATATGTGAATTCCCTTTAGGTTCCAGCAGCTCAATGAAATTGGGAGATATCATATGAATTCTATGGATGTGATATAAATATGTAAGTATGATGGTAAATATTTATCATTATTCTTATATTGTGGGTGTCCTAGGTTCTAATCTTGACCGAGCCAGATTTTAAAAATTGACTTGGCTCTTAGGTCTACCCAGCCTTGAGTGGGTACCGGGTAAAGTCCTGGGAAGTAAAGGTGGCTGGCATGATGCTGACCACATCACCTACCAAGTAAGTGCCAGTTGATCTATAAAATATAGGTCTAGCTCTATATATGTCCAGTAAACCTAAAGCCTGAAAAAGGTCCTTTATTTTTTTGTTGATATAGTGGGAGTGATGAAAGTCATAAAGTGAGACTGCACATTCATTAACTGGTGCCTCAGCAGAATGGGAAGGGGGTGGGGGGGTTAATGTTATATAATCACTAATGATGAGCTTTAAGAGAGATCTAAACAAATTCGAGTAAATTAAGAGGTGAAGAGAAGATGCTGGGATTGAATAGGACACACACTGAGAAAACTTGAGAATGGTATAACTAGAATGTCATTGCACTCATAGCCAAAAAGTCAAACGAATAAAGGCAGAAAATAAAGTAAGTGTAGAGGGAAGTTAAATAGATGAGATGAACATGAGGTGGGCTGCATATGATAGCATATGATAGGAAGACTTGGTGTGAGTTGGTTGAAGGCCTGCAGGATGAATGGCAGAAGAAGAAAGTGATTCTAAACGTGTGATGTCTTTCTTTTCTTTATGGATATTATATAAATTTGTATTGTAAATTTATATAATCTTTCTTATATTTTAAATATTCTAAGAAATTTATAGCATATTTATTCTGGTCATTATGAAAATTATATAAAAATGTAAGTATTATTGCATATATATAGCGTCTGTCTTATTTATCTCCAGTTTCATGTTCATAACAGTTCTGCATCATTAAATGTTACAAAAATATGTTATGTTTCTTTTGTGTATTCTGTCATCACATCTCTTTTGCTTTACAACTCATAATTTTTCTGTGAGTTATGATTTGGATTATCTTCACGGCGCTCCGGACATGTCCATGGATGCTCAGATTCCCCCTTAAACACATACATCAGCGTCCCGCAGTTGATAATCCCAGTCCTATGTTGGTTGACAAGACCTTTTGTGCACCCGGTGTGCTTCTCGTGCCTGGTTATGCTGATCTTTACTCCTAATTTGTGCACTCTTAGCAAAGATGTGGATGTGCTGCTCCCAAAATCCTCTGGTCGTCCTACCTCTCTAATGGTACTAACAGTGTCTACATGATCCATGGGCTGGCCCTCTGTAACTAAGGCAAAGTCGACTAATCTGTCGGCCCTTTCATTGCCAACAACACCTGCATACCCTGGGACAAATATGAAGGTAACTCCAAGCACAGTGGAGTTTTGCAATGACTATATCACATGTCTACGTATAAAGCCCACCTTGACCCGCCAGATCATGCTCATGGAATCACTCAGCACACACACGTGAGAATAGCCCTGCTATGCTAGCCCCATGAAAGCTTGTGTTACCACCATCAGCTCTATTGTCATGCTGCTAGTAGTCATACAGAAGGCACCATTTGCCTCCTAGACTGTTTTGCCCGCAGAGCACACTTTAAATGCCTGTTCACTTTTTTTTTCCTTGTACAATAGACCCATCTTTTCTATAATCTATTCATGTGATACTTTCATTTAAATCAGCGGTTCTCAACCTGTGGGTCATGACCTTTTTGAGTGTCAAACAACCCTTTCACAGAGGTCGCCTAAGACCATCAGAAAACACATATATACTGAAGTTATAAAGTAACAACAAAATTAATTTAATGGTTGGGGATCACCACAGCATGAGAAACTGTATTTAAGGGTCGGGGCATTAGGAAGCTTGAAGACCACTGATTTACGTGAAATAACACCTATTTATTTGCATATTGTCATGTCTAAAAAAATTGTGACTTATTCTATGTATCCTCATTTCTGAGACCAGTAGATGTGTTTCTGTGAATTGTGACCTATTTTCTGTATACATATCCTCGTATCTAAGATATCTAGATGTAACTGATTTTTTGTTTGCATGATTTATGACCTGTTGTTCTATATATCCTTATGATCAAGGCCTCCTTAATTCTGTACTTAAACTTATCATTTCAGAAGTCCCATGCACTGTTCCTCTCATACTTCTGTAATAAATTTATTAATGTTTTCAATTCATCTGTCTAGGGCTCCTGTTATCTCAGTGCTCCTGAAAAAGATAGCCAGCAGTGCTCTTAGAGACAAGTTCACCGATGATGATTTTATTGACCAGTTGAATCACTGGGCTAGCACTGGCATCCTTACTGCACTTGCTTTAGGTCAGTACAAAGTTTGTTGTTGTTTGTCTGCATTCAGTAAACTCCTGCAGAGAGTCCTGGTTGTTCATCCATATCCGAACTTTGGCTTTGTTCCCGAACCTGAGTGTTGCCTGTCCATCTCTTTCACAGGTCTGGCTTATTTGTATGCAGACTGTTGGTTCCTCCTCTCTCAAGCATATGTACTGCAACTTTAACTCTTTGAGTCCCAGGGGGTTTAGCATCACAGGCCCAGGGGGTAGTAAAGAAAGTCATTCAATCGGCGCATCATGCGTTCATTGGGCTTCTAGGTAGAAACGTATGATGTGTTTCTTGGGACTCAAAGAGTTAAAGGAACACGCCTAATTAGTCACCTTTTATAACATGCTTGCAAGGGAACAATGGGTTTATTCTTTTTTTTTTACCTCCTAGAATGGGAAACCTACATGTGGAGTTCAGAGTTCATACAACAGGAGAAGTTTAAAATAAGGTTTTTGAAATGCTAATGTTGGATTTATATTGACCGTAATAAAAATGCTAATGTGGCATTTATATTGACTAGAGTTAAAATGCTAATATCTTCTTGTTTTGTCGTCTCACTGTTACCAGGTTGTAACCCAGTGTCGTGGTTTTCTGTATTTGTCTTGTGCTTCTCAGGTGGCTTTGAGTGATGGATTCGTTTAACTTTTTGCAGGTTTCATCGACACCATTTATCCATCTCTTGGTCTGGCTGCATTGTCACTAGATGGCTGAACCATTTCATTCTTTTTCTGTCAATTTAATCTAGACATGGTCTTATTTCAACTTTCTCTCTAATGCTAGTATTCATAATCCTTGTGTTGTTAGTGACCTTACGGACACAGCGCATTTCACATGTAGTTACTTTCTGTTCTAGTGCCCTATTTATTGTCCATGTTTGGCACGGATAACATAAAGTAGGGATAATGCTGATATGGTTCTAGTATTGGCACTGATAACATAAAGTAGGGATAATGCTGATATGGTTCTAGTATTGGCACTGATAACATAAAGTAGGGATAATGCTGATATGGTTCTAGTATTGGCACTGATAACATAAAGTAGGGATAATGCTGATATGGTTCTAGTATTGGCACTGATAACATAAAGTAGGGATAATGCTGATATGGTTCTAGTATTGGCACTGATAACATAAAGAAGGGATAATGCTGATATGGTTCTAGTATTGGCACTGATAACATAAAGAAGGGATAATGCTGATATGGTTCTAGTATTGGCACTGATAACATAAAGAAGGGATAATGCTGATATGACTCTAGTATTTTTTAACATAAAGTAAAGGACACTGAGCAGACCTTTGACACATTGAGCGTATAGTGCTAAACTTATAGAGACAATCAGCACTTCAAGGCTGCTTTATTCATCATCACACCAGCCACCTTCACTTCCCAAGATATTACCTGGAAGCCATTTTAGGTCAGTAGCCAAGGTCACTTTTGCAAAAGTTAGTCCCAGTGAAAATGTAAACCCTAGAATATTGGGCTGGAAGCAAGGATCTAGTCATTAGTCTTGGTGGGAATCTAAATTTCAAATGGATATCTGGAAATGTATTAGGATCTAGAGGTGCTCAGTGTGATGGTTACAATCACAATAGGGCCGATTAGAGACTCTGGAAAGACTGCACATGAAAAGATAATTATTGAAAGAAATTACAAAAGGACAATAAAATTAGTTTTGCCATATTAAAAGACATAGTACACTAATAAAAGCCATACTGAAGGGAAAGGTTGAGGGCTGCCGGCAAAGAGGTAGGCATTGTTACATGTGGGAGGACAGAAATCAAGAAATAGATGAACAGCAGTCTGAGAGAGTGTACAATGAAGACAAAAGACAGAGCCTGTTGGTAAATCATCGCAGCAAATCTTCATTGTAGAGAGGCACCTGATCAGTTTATTGATTGACTGAGAGCCAATGGGTCAATAAAATATAGGTCCAACACCATGTGCATTTGACTTGCAAAGGGTAGTTTACTATTATCATATGCCTAGTGTGCTTTAATTCTGAAAATGGAACTTTTACTTGCTTTTTATTGGAACCAGAAAATCTTTACATTTCATGAAAATGTTGGTTGTTTAATATTTATCCTGTCTTCTTAGTTAGATATTTTAGATAGAAAATTGTTGCATTTCATGAAAATATTGGTCGTTTAATAATCATCCTGTCTTCTTAGTAAGTTATTTTAGCCAGAAAATCTTTATATTTCATGTACTTTAGGGGCAGAATTTCAAAAACTTGCATCACATTGAGAAAACCTACTGCATGGTACTGTATCTAGCCACTATGCCTCTGCCGTCCCCATTGAACTAATTAAGTTTTTAATATTTTTCTTGTGTACTGTTAACATGATGGAGCTATAAAATCTATACATTCCATGAGGTAGAAAAATCAAACTGTTTTAACTTTATTGCGTCCGTGGTTTTGCATTGCAAACGCGCTTTATAGTGCCGGCCGGACGATTTGTCTTGCATTGGTTTTGACAGTGGTACTGAGAGCTGACCGTTCAGAGAGAAAAAATGGCAAACTACTGAACGTAAAATTTGCCTAGAAAAACCACAAGATCAAAAAAATGCTGTGGTTGGTTCTGCAGTGTCCTGTAAAGGATACGCAACTAACTTTTAAAATGTAAACTTCATTTTCTGGTCACATTTTGGAGCCATGTCAAATTTACAATTAATAATACAAAATTTCATCTTCTGTCATATCACCATCATCCTCGTCATCAACATCATCATCCTCAGGTATTGGAGCCAAGCAGTATGTTGGAGACCCAATACATTGCTGGGTTCCAGCACAGTACAAGAAGAAACATTACCAGAAATATTCAGACAGTTATTGTTGGATCCACCCCATGTACAGTTTTTCTTTTGATGATGCCATACCTGTTGATCCTGCAGACAGGTAAAAAAAAAAAAAAAAATTGGCTCTGAAGTCTCTTTGCAGGAGAAAATGTGCTGTTGATTTTATTTAGAAATGTCTTTGTTTTTCTGTTTTCTTCTTTCTCATTTTTTGGTGGGTATTTTTTTACGGGGTGGGGGGGGGGGGGGATTATTGTTGGATGGTTATTGATGAACCCATACTCATTGACCCCGCAGACACTTTAAAAAAAACAAAAAAAAAAAACATATATTTTGCTATGAAAGCTGTTTGCACTTGTATCATTGTCTACCTCCTGCTGTCTTGCCCTCAACTTTTCCCTTCACTAAGATTTCTTAAAACATGTTATGTCTTTTAATTAAATTTCATTTGTCTCTTTATTATTTCTTTCTGCAATTCTCTTTTCATTTGCAGTTTTTTCAGAACCTCTATCTTTGACTGTTTTTGTTTCCGTGAAATTCGACCTTCTCTTCTATGTATCCACATTTCCAGAGACTCAATTCGATTTTCTAGTTGCTCATTTATTGCCCAAGTTTCTGTAGCTCATTTATTGCCCAAGTTTATGCTGCCCATTTATTGCCCAAGTTTCTGTTGCTCATTTATTGCCCAAGTTTCTGTTGCTCATTTATTGCCAAAGTTTCTGTTGCTCGTTTATTGCCAAAGTTTCTGTTGTTCGTTTATTGCCCAAGTTTCTGTTGCTCGTTTATTGCCCAGGTTTATGTTGCTCATTTATTGCCCAAGTTTCTGTCACTTGTTTATTGCCCAAGTTTCTGTACCATACTGCAGGATTGAGTATAAACATAACATTTGATGATTTTCATTTCTAATGTTTTATTTTGCATGTTTTAGTTTCTAATCTCTGACACACTTCTAGGCATTGGGAATATGTGAGCACAAAACATTCTGCACATAGTAAACTACCTTTGCATATGGAGATAATTAAGCCTATGCAGTAAGGCTGAAATTGAATGAATTGAAGACTGCCCCAAATACAACATATCAAGGCAAAACATTTGGCCAAGAGAAACACCTGTGCAAGCCAAACATTCACTAGCCAGGCACTGAAATGGGAGGCACACGGATTAAGGAAATGAGTTGATGGAGGTCAGAAGTTCTGGGCTGGATTCCATCCATGATTTCAGAAAGACTGTACATAATAGAACAGGATGGAGAATTGTCTACATGCCTTATGTTGGTGTGTTCAGCTGTCATAGCGAAGCGGCTAGATGCTCGACTCTAGATCCAAAGTTCATGGGTTCAAATCCACATTTAGTCAAATCTTCTCAAACATGACCTTGGTTCCCTTATTGATTCAGCCTTAAATAGGTACCATGTAATGTTCTGGTAAGTAGAGGTGGCTGGCAAGATGTTAACCTAATGTTTGTTTTTTTCAACTTTACTTACGGGTGTATTTACTAGTCATTAATTAATTCATTAATTCATTCATTCATCATTCATGCATTCATTCATTCACTGCTCTGTTGTACTATTTTATATGTCACATAGGACTCACAGTTTGTTTCTCTATTCTGTACTATCCTGTACAATTATTTTTAAGCAACACAAAAAGATCCATCCATAATCCGTCATGACGCAGGTCCTTTGCAGAACCTCGCTCTCATCACAGTCTGCCTGAAAGAAACTCGGTCTCTCGCCAGTTCTCCCGCCTCATGCACTTTCATACTCAAGGAGTAACTTATATCCTTTGCCCAGCTTTGTGTCGGTCAGCCCCTGTCCCTCCTTCCTGGTACCATGCCTTCTGCTATTATTTTTTCCAATCCGTCGTGGCGCTTGATTTGACCAAAATATTTCAGCTTCCTAGACAGGATGCTGTTTATAAGCCAATCTTCCTTGATGTTCAGATCTTTCAAGATGTCAGTATTTCTCCTCTTCTTTGTCCAAGATATTCTGAGAATCTTTACACAAAAGGATGCTGATGGTAATTAAGACCTGGCAAAATATGCAATGAGAAAACCAACCCAGGACAGAAAACCTGTTGGTCATTTTATACATACATTAGATTCTTACCAGAATTGCCTGTTAAGCTTATCGTTACATGTTTAGCTCAGTGATACCTGTTCTGTCTCAGGTGGTACAACGACATCAGCTACTACCGATGGGTCTTCATCATGTTCCTGCTTCAGGCATTCCTCTTCAAGTTTCCCAATATGGTCTGGAAGAACCTAAAAAACTTGTCTGGCTTGAATGTTTCAAATCTGATAGGCATGGCCTGGGACACACACATGCTGACACAGGAGAAGAGGGATGAGAAGATGGACCACATGGCAATCTTCATTGACCAGTGGCTAAAGACGTACTCCCAATACAAGTTCAGTGTACTGACTCGATTCCGAGACAGGTTTTCGTACTTCATGTTCTGTTTTGGTCGGCGTTCCGGGACGTACTTACGTGGGTTATACATGTTTGTCAAGATGCTGTACTTCATCAACATAATTGGCCAGTTTTTCTTACTTTCTGCATTCCTTGATTTGAATTTTTGGACATTTGGCTTAACTGCCTTGGCAACGTTGAGGAAACAAGGTAACTGGCAGGACCAGTACAACTTTCCAAGAATTGGTCTGTGTGACTACAAGATCAGACAGTTAGAGAATGTGCAGACATTTACTGTACAGTGTGTACTATCCATCAATTTGTTTCTGGAAAAAATGTATTTGCTTCTGTGGTTCTGGTTTATTGTCGTGCTAGTTTTTGATTCCATAAATCTTTGCCAGTGGGTATTTCGAGGATTGCAGCCAAACAGTGGACAGAGCTTCCTTAATAAATATTTTATACTTCTTGAAATTGATCCAAAGAAAGAAAAGAAGCTTTTTGTCAAATTTGTTCACAGTTATCTTCGTCCAGATGGTGTTTTTGTGCTACGAATTATGGCAGTTAACACAAGTGAAATTCTTATCCTTGATCTTATCAGACATCTTTGGAAGCGATTCAAAGATAACTATAGTGTCACAGATGACCAAGATGATGTGGTTGCACCAAACGGAGGCTCTCCAGTAAGTCCTTCAGCTCCTGCTCTTGAAGAAAATGATTTTGGTTTGCCACCTAAAAAAGTTCATTAGCCTTATTTTTTTAATGATCTGATCCATGAAATGTCAGAACTTTTGACAAGGATTTGACCCTATTACCTGGACAGATCAGTAACCTTATTTTTAAATGATCTGATCCATGAAATGTTAGGAACTGTTGACAAGAAAAGGACTTTATTTCCTGAACAAATCAGTAGCCTTGTGTTTTAAATGATCTGATCCATGAAATGTCAGGAACTTGGCAAGGATTTGAACTTTTTACCTGAAGAAAATCAGTTACCCTATTTTTGAAATGTGATGTAAAGTGTCAGGGAGAGAGGACACTCATTTTGCTGTGCCATAAAATAATTCAGTAACATTATCTAACATTATCTTTTCAATGATGTGATGCATAAAGTGCCAAAAACCAAAGTCTTTACTGTTTAAAAAAATTCCGTAAATTTATTGAGCGGCAGGCTTAATGATTAGTACAATGTACTCTCATTCAAGAGGCCCCGGTTCAATCCTCAGTAAGGTGACTGAGATTTTTCTGTCGGGGCAACAACAACAAAATATGCCTGCACAGTTCGTGGCAACTGCAATAGCAGATCCTCAGGTTCAAGGACCCGAACACCACCCTAACAAGTGCACATACAGGCAGCAGTGAAGGTTTTTTCCTCAGTAAATTTATATTTGAAAAAATGTGATCTATATAATATATAATTTTGTTTGTCAATTTTTAAACATTCAGTAACCTTATATAGCTGTCTTCTTCTGTTATGTTTTTTTTTTTTTTTTTTTTATTTGTCCGACTGACAAAATTTGTGTTGTGCCTGTTTACAACATGGCTGAAATATTTGCGCCTTTCAGCTGACACTTCTGACTTCATCAATCATTTGGTCACCAGAATAAATTTTCTGGGCCTTATAGTTGTGATGATGTGATATTACAAAGTGACAGAGTTAGGAATCCCCATATCCACACTCTGTGAGCTGTACTGTCCATATGCTGTAAGCCCCATGTTTGAACAGACTAGTCAGTACTCTAAGGCTAAACTATTGAATGTAGCAGAAGCTGCTGTGGTGAATATCCTAGACGCTCGCCTGCAGATTCAAAAGTGGTGTGTTAAAATCTGACAAGCCAGATTTTTTGGGGGGCTTTGGCTGTCAGGTTGTCCTCACCTTAAATGGCTATCCATCACATCCTATAAATAATATTCGACTACCATTTTAATCAGTTCTTTATTTTTCAGCAACTGGAATTTTTTCTAGACCACAAAATTGAAGTCTTGTTGTCCATTCACCAAAGTGCACTTGTTTGTTTAGCAGGATACTGTTGTCACTTGAAGGTGGCAGGTTTGGATCCCGGTGCAGCCACTGTGGATTTCAGTTTGTATATTGTACTACTCTAGAATCTAATCTGTATTTATTTACTATACCTCTATATGTACTCATCAATACATGTGAATGTATTTCTCATGCTATACCATTTAGAGACCTCCTCAAGGTAGATAGGATTAGCACTTTCTTTGAAGCTGAGAAACCAACAGTTTGCACACAAATAAGCCAGATCTGTAAAATCAATATACCTGCAAAACTCGGGTCTAGAAAAAGACCAGAGTCCAGAAGTGGATGAACAGCCAGAAAAATCTACAGGAGTTTGCAGCCAGTAAACATAAAAAAGAAGTACAGTATCTACTGTGTGACTATCTTTTTCTGTTATATAATCAAAATATATTATGTTTATTGACCTTTGATTTTGAAGTGTTGAAAAATCAGATTAATTGCCAATCAACGAGAATGATTTTATTATTTAAATAAATTTAGTTACTTGGTGACTGTTATTTAAGGTGCACTAAAAAATGTTTCAACAGCTATTGTCATATACATGAGAGTATTTGAACAGTTTTGCACTTTAGTATGGAGTCAAGTTAAATACTTGGAAATTTGTGTGAATTGTAGTCTTTCTTATGTAATTACTTCCTCAGGGATGCTAACTTCTCCTATCTCTTCTTCCTCTTCGCATTGCCCTGATTGTCTAGAATAGAATTCTTTATTTATCTGGAGTCATGCCCTGAATTATGAATAAAATCCTGGTCTTTCAAACAACGATTATTCACCATACTCACCAGACTTGGCTCTGAAACTTACTGTTTCTAAACATGAATCTCCTTTAGGGATGTCATCTTTCATGTGACCAAGACTTGATTCCTGAACTTTAGATGTTTTTCCAGGCCTGAATTGGAGGAACCCTACTATCAGGATGACGAAGAAGATATGGGGGAAATGCATGGCCTTCAGCGATAAATGTGTGGAGAAGAAATGAAATGTGTGCATCAGTCCTCAGTCATGCCTCGACTTCTTCCGACTAAAATGCAAAGCTTGTCAGTCACCCCTAGTACTTCACAAAGGTGTAAGGAAGGGGAGTGTTATATGTGTAGAAAGATGTACACAAAAACACATTTAATTTGTAATGATGTTTTAATGTTTGCTGTTTGCTTTAAGTAATAACTGTTGTATATAATTTTCGAAAGATATACCTGTGAATTTGTTTTTATCTGTTATGTATATAACTTAAAAAATTGAAATCCGACTGGAAAAGCCACTTTAAACAATTATTCCACCTAGAAAATATACCATGTTTGTCTGCCTGCCAAGATGTCAACGATTTGATTGTTCATTGGTCACTGTTCCTTTTTGAGATCATTTTCATTGGACAGGACCATAAGTGCTCTGATCTCCTCCTGAGTAGGTCTCCAAGTGTTTTTAGGCTAACAACTCCCATTCTGTTCTGGCTGATGTAACGACGGGTGGCTCCCGCATGGTTTTTCTATCTCACGGCTCTAATTGGTACACTCTGGGTATGCAGTCTGTTCAGCAAAAAATAATTTTCCACGAAACTGAAAAGCCTCACAGCATTTAGTCTTTCGTATGGATTTGATCATGTCTTTCCTGTCAATAGAGGGTGCATTCCTCATAGTCGCACTGCCAGCCAGAGCAGGTGCTCTCTTGTTGGCTTTCACACCAGCACAGGGTTCTAATTCCAATGCTACTACTAGCAGTCTTATTTTAAGACTATCTTGACTCTCTCCTAAGGTTGAGCAGTTGGCCAGATTCCGTGGTCATTCCCTGCTGTACCAACCTCTTCAAAACTTCTGTGCCTGTTTATACATTGTTCACTCACTCATTAAGGACCTTGATGAGGAAATTGAGAGAAAAGAAGCCATTGTAACCTGATTACTTTCTAATTGTCCTCTCCCTTTAGATGCAAAGTTACATTACCAGTCTTGTGCATCTCACTTGTTTCTGAAATTGGAGGGGGAAGAAAAGCTCTGCCTACAGAGATAATAGTTTCTTACAGTGCTCGAACAATAAACTAACTTTGCTCTGGTAAATGCAAACCCTTCTCCAGAGTTGAAACGCCTCTCTTGATCTCTTAAACGCCAGTGCATCGGATAAAGTTAAAACTTAGTCATCTGGAGCCATGCTCCTCAGCCTATGGGTCATGGAGCGGCATCGGTTCGCAGAAATTTCCTGATGGTCTGCTAAAATGTGTCCACCCAATTATGTAGTGGCTACAGGGGAAACCAAACAGAAATCAAAATGATATGTTTTTGCAGCACTTTGTCTCTCTGAAAAAAAAAATTTTTTTTTTAGATGGCTCCAACCATTTATGTCAGATTTTGTAACCTATAAGCAGCAAATATTGCAGCAGCAGCAGATGTTAACAGGTTGAAAAACACTGTAATCTAGATGATTAAATATTGCGAAAAACAAACACTATATTCCACAATTTATTGACTGTTATATTTTGCTGTATCTCATCAGGGATAATAAAGGATGTATCCTGATAAGATACAGCAGTGTTTACTAAGCAATAAATTGCATAATATAGTTTGTCTCAATTAGACCAATTTTATAACAGTAAAACATTGTTTTACAATCCAGAGGATTTACAAACAACACAAATTGCTCCAGATAGTGCTTGCAAGGTAATGATGATAAATTAAATGATGATGTATGAGATATAGACTAGTTTGAGAAGTAGAAAAATAATAAACTGCTTACTTTAGTATACAATTTAGTGTTGTGTAGATTGTTTCATGTGAGGTAGATCTGTCTTTTCTGCGTATCCAAACGGCTGCTGACCGAGGGGCAAGGAGCCAACAGTCTGCATACAGATAATATAAAATATAATAAACAAACAATATATCGATCGGTACTCATAAAAAGAAGTAGAAAGATAGAAGAACACACTAGACGACATAATAATCGAAAGCTTTAGTTACTGTGCCGGGTATCGAACCTGTCACTTCCAAATGGCGTGTACACCTCACTATGAAGACAGGAGCACTAAGAATATTATTTATGCATACAAATCAGCCAGATCCAAAACGCAAGTTATGGATGAAGACAAAAGTCAAGAAGTTGACAGCCACAACTTTCCATTGAAGTTTGCAGCAGAAGAATGCTAAAAAAGAAAATAAGAAGATTGGGCTATCTTCCGAATAACGGTCACATATTATGGCGGCCAAATACAGGGCCTCAGTCACATGTAAACTGCGAACTTCCGGCGACTATACCTCCACCACACGTAGTGCGGCTAAACTAGATTGTTGGGACTCACGAGCAAAGCTGCAGGAGATGTGGAAGCTGCTGCTCGTGACTCCCAGCCATCTAGTTTAGCCCCGCTCCGTGCCACACGAGAGGTACTCTCGGCGGTGGCGGTAAAGTCGCCAGTCTGCCATTTAAGTCGCCGGAAGTTCGCATTTTACATGTGACTGAGGCCCTGTCAGTGTGTGTTTTTGGCTTCAATAATATGTGGCCGTTATTCGGAGGATAGCCGAAGATTGATAACAGGATTCAGAAGAATCAGAGCACATTATTCAACCAAGCACATTTTCAACAAATGAGCTTCAGAGATTATATCATTATACAGTTGTGGAGCACATCAGTAAATACAGAGAACATCTGAGAAGTTCTTTCACATTCGTGACTCAGGCACATAACCAAACATTAGAGTACATCTTTCCAAAACATGTCTCAAAGATTGTC